CCATGGGACAAAGGGATGTGTGGGGGGATGGTTTTGAATGATTTTCACACCAAGACAAAAGACATGTTTAATCCTTGTCTCCTGATTTGGTCTTTTGTGTTTTGTAATGGATTGGGATGGATGGGGATGGATTCTAAGGCCAAAAGGGGATGTATTTTCGTGGGTTTGAAGTAGGAAAAGGTGGGGGAAGGTTTTATTCAAAGTAGGGAATATTAGGAAAGAAAACAACACACACAAAGAAATTCTGTTTGTCCTTGTCTCTTGGATTTTCGGCCATGGCTTCAAAGGGAGGTGAAGGACTTTATTTTGGTTAATAAAGGCAAATGAAATACTTTTGGATATGTGGGAGTGTGTTGGGCTTGTAGGCATTTCGGCCTAGGTTGCGTTTTGGGAGAGAAGTGTCATGGTTCGGGCTTAATGTGGGACGGGTCAATGAGTTCAACCCAAAATGGATCATAACACCTAGACATTAAACACTTGACTTGTTGTAATACTAGTGGCGTGTGTGAAGGTGCATCCCGGGGTATATCATCCTCCCCTTCTTCAAAAGAGTTTGACCTCAAACTCAGAATATCTTCTGGCTCCAAGTAGGGACTGAGGTCGGCAATGTTGAACGTGGCGGAGACTCCATATTCTCCGGGCAGATTGATCTTGTAAGCATTGTCATTGATCTTTTCTAGTACTTCAAAGGGACCGTCCGCTCGGGGCAGTAGCTTGGATTTGCGTTTCGTGAGGAAACGCTCTTTTCTGAGGTGAATCCAAACTAGGTCTCCGGGTTTGAATTCTGCAGACTTCCTTCTCTTGTGATGCGCAAAATGTTAGGAAGAAGGGTGTTTGGTGGGGAATGATAATCGATTATTTGGCGGAATTCTGGGCAGGAAGAAGGGTGTTTTGTGGGGAAATGGACTGGAAATATATGGGGTTGATGAGGGAGTTCTTTTGGGTATTTTAATTGGAAGAAAAGAGTGAGATTAAGAGGAGAAATGGGGAGGTATGAAATGGAAGAAAATCAGGGATGGATAAACCAAGTTGGTGTTTAAGAGATATTACACACTCTTATCCTAACTTGGGGTTTGAATCTAGAATTTAATTAAGATATGACACACTTAATTAAATATCTAGAAGCTAAAACTCACACTTAAGATAACCACTCTTAAGATATAGAATTAGGGATTTGGCTAAAATAGCATCACACTATTTTATAAATACTCAAAGAGTAAAGGGAGTTTTTATTATTCAAGGTGTGTTACATTTGGCCATAGGGCCTGATTTATATATAGGCAGGGGAAGGGGGGAAGAAATACACAATACATTGAATGTAGACATAAGGAAACTTCCTATCTTATTCTCCTAAATCAATAGCATGACCTCCACTTGTTGTTGTCCCTTTGGTGGGGAGAAAAATCAGGGATAGGTTGTACTTGTAGGGCAGGATTTTTGGCCATTAGTGGTGGGAGGGAATATGTGAATATAATTCACAATTGATTGGCTTAGGTGGGGCTGTTTTGGGCAGGAGAAAAAGGGGTGGGACAGCAGGTTATTTGGAGGTATTTCCTGGGCTGGATATGGGGTAAAAACATGGGGGTTGAAGGGTGTGGGTGTGGGTCAAGGTGTCTTGGATTTTATGGCTGTTTGTTTAGCCAAGTTGAGGTGTAAGGGAGTGGTATTGGCAGGGTTGTGGCATGGGGTTTTTGGCCAGGGATTCAAAGGGAGGGAGAATAGGTTTTTATTTGTTTATTAAAAGAAGGAAAATAACAACAACAAAAGGTCTTGGTTTCTTATTATTAACTAGGGAATAAAATAGATGGCAAAGGCTTTATTTTGGGACAAAGAAAAGATAAAAGACTTTTGGATATGTTGGGAGGGGTTGGGATTTTGGTGGAGCCATCCAGGGGTATAACATACTCCCCTTATTCAAAAAAAGTTTGTCCTCAAACTTTCGCACCACCGTAGGAGATTATGGTTTCATATGAGTATTCCCGGATCAAATGGGAAACTTAATGAACCACCAATATTGAAGTTCACTCCGGACTTAGTTGGCACCTCGTAGTGTATTTTCCAGAATATGATGGCCACCTTGGTTAGTACCTGCTTCACATATCCTTCAAAGATGAAATAAGATTCTTCTTCACCAATTGGACGATAATACTTTGTGGAATTTAATTCCTTAGAATATATAACATCCGGTGTAGTTTCCTCCACCACAACCTCGGAATCTGGTTCTTCAACGAAGACGTCATTTTCATCTTTGACTTGAAAATCAGAGACGTCTTCAATAATGACAAGATGGTCGTTGAAGCTTTTCTTTTCCTCTTCACAAATTGTTTCTTCAATCAAAACTTCTGCACGTGAAGCTTCTTCATTGATCTTGGCCCATTCTTCATACGGTACGGCATGTTCATTTGGGCATATCCAGTAGATATGACCATAGCCACAACACTTGTAGCACCGTTGAGTTGGCCCTTGCAAGATAGCCTCATTGGCGTAGATGATCTCCAGATTTTTGATGTATCTTTGGACATCCATATCTCAACAACCAGGTATTGGAAAGATGTAATTCCAACTCTCGGAGTTAGATATTGAAGTCTTTAAAGACATATCAAAAATTCAGAGCCATTGAAAAAATGTTTTCTACCTCTTCGGAGACAAACTCAGCAAGGTAAATAGAATCCCGCCAGGACTGTGTTATCAACTTCGGGAGGGCGTATCTCTCAAACCGTAACTCGGAATTGAGTGAAATCAGCGGCCAGACGTAGATAAAAGGTTAAACTACTGAACTGGAAAGTTTCACCTTGAAATACGTCGTGTAGCATCCTCCGTGCTCAACGCCATGGAACTGAAAGTTTCTGGGGGAGAAATTTCAGCAACGTTCTTTTGGGCAGCGTTTGCGAAGCCGGTCCTCAAGGTTATCGTCGAGACTTAAGAAATCCTCGAAGCTGAGCTTTGATACAAAATGTTAGGCCCGAACCGGGGGTCTAAACGAGTTGCTACTTTGATGAGGAATCAAGGAATGATTCAGCTTTGAGTTCAGGATGCTGGGGCAGGAGATTGTAAAAGAATAAACTTTTTCTATTTCTCAATCTCATCATGGAATGTATGTACAAGGATTATTTATACAAGAGTGGGATTAAGCCTAGAGTATTCTAGAGTATTCTATAGTGTGTAAATATATATTATACATGTGTATATAATTAAATATAATAAGTATTATATTTAACATACTACCAGCTATCTAGGCGGTATTGAACGAACTCGAGATTCTCTCTAAAATCAAGAAATAACAGAGATGGTAATCCCTTTGTGAAGATGTCTGCATACTGTGAGGATGACGGGACATGTAGAACTCGAATTTGACCCAAGGCTACCTTATCTCGGACAAAATGGATATCTACCTCCACATGTTTGGTTCTTTGATGCTGAACAGGATTGGAGGAAAGGTACACTGCACTCACATTATCACAGAAGACTAAAGTGGCACGATGTAATGGTTGATGAAGTTCCAGCAGCAGATTCCTTATCCAACTTGTCTCAGCTACAACATTTGCCACGGCCCGATATTCTGCTTTCGCACTAGAACGAGAAGTGGTAGCTTGTCGTTTGGACGACCATGAAACTAGATTATCACCCAAGAACACACAATAGCCAGATGTGGAGCGGCGAGTGTCTGGGCATCCGGCCCAATCAGCATCGGGATAGGCTTGCAAGGCATCTGTGGATGAACGGGTAAACGTGATACCGTATATGGCTGTGCCATGCAAATATCTGAGAACCCGCTTCATGGCTGTGAGATGGAGAGTCCGTGGGTCATGAAGATGAAGACAGAGTTGTTGAACGGCATAAGTGATGTCTGGTCGAGTAAAGGTAAGATACTGAAGAGCACCAACAATGGAACGATACAAGGTCGGATCCTCTACTGGGAAGCCGCTGGCCGCCCCCAGCTTGCCCTTTGTGTCAACTGGTGTGGATGTGGGTTTGCATGTAATCATTCCACCACGCTCTAAGATCTCATGTGTGAATTAAGTTTGATGGAGAAAAAGGCCATCTTTTGTTCGCTGAATATTTATGCCAAGAAAGAAATGAATATCCCCCATGTCCGTCATGGCAAATTCCCCCTTTAGCCGTTGTGTGATGCGGCGGAGTAGTAAGGTAGAGGAGGCTGTGAGAACAATGTCATCGACATAAAGAAGGAGATAAGCTGTGTCTTTCCCATGAATGTAAACAAAAAGTGAGGTGTCAGTTTTACATCCTCGAAAACCCAATGATTGAATGAAGTTGGCAAACCGATGATACCATGATCTAGGTGCTTGCTTTAATCCATAGAGTGCTTTCTTGAGTTTGCACACATAATTTGGACGGGAGGGATCTTGAAAGCCAGATGGCTGAGTGGCATACACTGTTTCCTCTAAATTACCATGAAGGAAGGCATTCTTAACATCAAACTGATGAATCGGCCATCCGCGGGATAAGGCCAAGCTGAGCACTATACGAATAGTTGCAGGTTTTACCACCGGACTAAAAGTCTCCTCATAGTCGACACCGTAACGCTGATTGAAACCGCGGACTACCCACCGAGCCTTGTACCTGGACAGATCACCTGTAGGACCAAATTTGTGACGAAAGAGCCATTTTCCGGTGATGACATTTTGATTAGGGGAAGGGGGTACTAGTTCCCATGTATTATTTTTAAGCAAAGCATTATATTCATCACACATAGCATCATACCAGTTAGGATCTTTTAGTGCACTGCGATAGGTGGGGGGTAGGGGAGAAATTGGGTTAGTGGCAGTTGTATTGAGATTGAGAATTGTTTTTGGACGGGTGATGCCAGCTTTGGAACGGGTGAGCATGTGGTGGTTGTTGATAGTGGGTTGTGGTTGTTGGGTAGTGGACAGTGGGCTTGGGTTAGGTTCGGTGGGGGTACCCGAAGAGAGGGATGGGGCTTGAGTGTCATGTGTTTGGGCCGTGGGTGAGGGGGAGGGTTGAGTTTGGTCTGAGGGAGTGGATGCAAGAGGGGGGGAGTTGAGATTGTGACGGTGATAGGGTAAGTCATCATCCTCCACGGAGTCGAGGAAATCAAAATCGGTGGGAGAGGATGTGTGATCATATGGAAATGTGGATTCATCAAAAATGACATGTCGTGAAATAATAATTTTGTTAGTTTGAAGATCAAAACACCGGTAGCCACGTTGATTAGATGGGTAGCCAAGAAAAATGCACCGGGCCGAGCGTGGGGCAAGTTTATGGGGTGCTGTGGCGGCTAGATTTGGGTAGCAAAGGCATCCAAAGACACGAAGATGGGAATATGTGGGAATTTTATGGTACAAAAGTTCATGGGGGTGCGATTTTGAAGTGTGGTGGTGGGTAGTAGGTTAAAGAGGTGTGTGGCCATATGTAAGGCTTCCACCCAAAAGTCGGGAGGTAGATTGGCTTGAAACAAGAGAGCCCGAATGGTATTGTTAATGGTGCGAATGGTGCGCTCGGCTCGGCCATTTTGCTGACTAGTATGAGGACAAGAGAAACGGAACACTATTCCCAATGAGTCAAAAAACGACGCAAGGGGGGAATTTCGATATTTTGTTCCATTGTCACATTGCACGGCTTTAATGGTTGAATTAAATTGATTTTTAACAAAGGCTACAAATTTAGTCAAGTGAGAGTAAGCATCAGATTTGTGCCGTAGGGGAAATACCCATAAATAATGAGAATAATCATCCAAGAGTAACATGTAAAATTTAAAACCTGTAATACTAGGAACTGGGGATTGCCATAAATCAGTATGAAGGAGTTCAAAAGGGAAAGTAGAAATACGAGTAGATAAAGTAAAAGGAAGACGAACATGTTTCCCTAATTGACATGCATGACATAAACTAGACTTTCGACATTTATTAGAAAAAGATAATAAAGGACTTGGGACCCCATGGAGGACAACAGAGCTAGGGTGACCAAGTCGGCGATGCCATGTATCAAAATCAAAAGTGGCAGCGTGGGCTTGGGCATCCGAAGGGTTGAATGTGTATAGTGGGCCATCATTACTGGACCGATGTATCACGGTTCCCGTCCGAAGGTCCTTCACAGAAAAACCATGGGAGTCAAATTCAATGGAACAATTATTATCTCAGGTAAATTGGCGAACAGAAATAAGGTTATGAATTATATTAGGGGATATAAGAACAATATTTAGGAAGAGGGGGGGAGATGTGTTAAAAAAATGTTTACCGATCGCAGTGGTGTGCACTTTAGAACCATTACCGACAGTGATGTGTGGTGGTGAATAAATGTTTGAATTAAAAACATGGGAAATAGTACCTGGGTCAGAAGCAATATGATGTGAGGCTCCCGTATCCATGTACCAAGTAGGTTCACGGAGGGTCATGGTGTCAAAGGTATGGGCAA